CAAATATGAATCTGCCTTTTTATTACAAAAAAATAACATGAAATCTTCGTCAAATGGTTCATCCTTAAAGGTTTTTCAAATTTCACCATTGTAAATATCACATAAAATATCATTAAAACTTGAACGATCTACTCAATGCTGAAGACTATTCTCAAACCCGGGACATTAGTACATGTTAGCCAATTGATGTCTAATTGGGCTAAAAGAAAAAATTAATTCTGGCCGATTTATAATCTTCCCATCTGTCAACTTGGATTGTATAGATAAATTAGTGTCGCAAATCTTCTTTTTTCTAATTTCTGAATTAGGAAATTCTATATGGGTACAACTCTTAATTGACACCCAATTATTATGCTTAAACTTAATAACTTTGTTCTCTTTGTATAGTTTATGATATTTAGAGCATGCACAAAACTAGCAAATTTATCAGACAATTCAAGTGCTTTATTTACTTTATACTTAGATGTAGAAAAATTATTAAATTCCATACTACCGACTACAATTAGGACTAATTTCATAAATTTCAAAAGTGCTTCAATTGCACTTTTTGATATATTATATATTATTCTGAAGTTCATAATCTACAATAATATTCACGTAAATCGATCATCTGTAAATAAATTGTCAGGCTCTGGTGATATTTTAGAATCAAAATCAGGGGCTGAATAGTCTTCAAAAACATTGTTATTACCCAAATTTTCACCAAATTCTGTACTATTTTCTAAAAAGTTATTATCTTCGCTATACATATCGAGTAATTCATTATTCAAGTCTTCGTTTTCTGCTGAGTTTAAGCTAAATTCTTCGATAGCCGAACTTTGTAACCAACATTAAAAGATATCAACCTATTTAATGCCAGATTTCTGACTCTGGGCTGAAATGTAAATTCGTCCACAACAGATGCTGGAGTGTCAGAGACTTCAACTTCTGTGATATCTTGTGAAGAACGTGGATCTTCTGATTATTCTTGTGATGATAACGTGAGTTTATAAAAAGACAAATCTGAACTTTGCCTTTTTGGCAATTGTTGTATTCTATTTTTATAGGCATCTTTCATTCTATAATCAACAAGTGACCTACTATACTTGTTGCAATTACAGATAACTTTTTTTCTTTGATTTGTTGAATTTGTACATGAAGGTTTTGCTATACCTTCATTTAATAAAGATGAAATAGAGCATTTTCTTGATAACATGTTTATTATTAATGATTAAAAATGAAATTTGCAAAAAAAGGCAATAGCTTTTTTTTGTAAACGAAACTTGATGATTAAAAGTGAAATTGGAAAAAGGCAATAGTTTTTTTTTAAACGAAACTTGCCAATTAAAAATAAAATTTGCAAAAAGCAATAATTTTTTTTTTTAACAAAACTTGATGATATTTATATGATTCAAAGATATATATTTATTTATTATAAATTAATAACATGACAATACATTATCTATTAATACATTAAAATAATTTAGTTCTTATTCGTGAATAATATATTAATTAAGTTACTTATTTCAGATAAAAAATATAATTGTTTTTGGTATATAAAAATTTCTTATTGTGTATAAAATAAATTTTAAAAATTTGATATTAATTCGACAACATTAGAATTAATTATCTAATATATGAATTTTTGATTGCATAATTGATATATATATATGATTTTTATTAAAGTTCGTTAATATTATTAAAGTTATCATAAATATTTAATATACAAATTTTACAATATATTTAAACTATATATTTATTAAAATTTTATCTATAATTCGACGACATTAGAACTAAATAATTAATCTATATTTTTTATAATTTATGCAAAATTTTGGCATTTGAACTATTTAACTGTGAATTCTGTCATATCGATTAAAAAAATTGCATGTATATTTTAGCTGTGAATTCTGTAGTATCAATTAAATTAAATTTTGCTAATTGCAAATTTCATCATATCGATTAAATTAAGCACCCAGAAAATGTGTATCAGGTTAGGATTGGATGATTATCTAGAAAAATAGATCGAAATTATAAGAATATTTGAAACTAGAAACCAAAATTATGTATTTCAGAATTTTAAACAGTACATATTCACATAAAAAGTTAATAATCAATATTGTAATTAGCATTAATTTAGCATAATATTTTTGTTTGTTTTTTCTTTCTGCAAAAAAAAAAAAAAGGCAAACATATTACAGACACAGTTTTAATATTGTGAGCAATTTATTATTTCATTAATTACAAAAAACTATCAAATTGAAATCTAAATAAATATTGAATATATCGAACCTACCTATGCCACTTCAACAAATATTTCTATTAGCTTATAAGTATCAGATTGAATATTGCAATATTCAGCAATTTAAAGATGATATTAAAATTGGTTTGTATTTTATTTATAATAGTTCAAATTTATTTAAAAATTACATAGTGATAAAGATCTAAATAAGCATATAATACCTATTAAAAAGTTTTTTAAACGTATCATTGGTGATATTAACTAACTTCTTTATAGCATAGAATATTTCAAAAAAAATTGAAATATTTAATGGTGGGAAAGTTAATGCTTTATCGGTTTTATCAAGTTTCTTTATCGTAGTTGAAATAGGTCAAATTAAAGTTCTGCCTCATCAATTTAAAAAAATTCGTGTACAGAAAAAAATATTAATCTAAAATGAAGAGGTATAATAAAAGATTAACCACAAAAAGAGTGCCATCAACTCTTTCTATAAAGAAAAATTCTTGATAAAAAAAGTTTGTTATAGAAAATTACTAAATTTTATTAAAAACACATGGCATTTTTTATATCGAACTATTATAAAAGTCCAAAATTTTGAGTTCATTATATCCAGAGTTGACTGTACATAATTTATTAAAGCCAGGTCTTACTCTTAAAAAAAAAATATATATATATATAATTTATCAAAAACGTCACAAAAAACAACCAAATGGCTAAACAAATAGACTAAAGCCAAATGATTAAATAGAAATATAAACTAATTAGAGTTTTAGAATATCAAAACTTCAAATTATTTGTATTATTTCTATACATTGTATATGCATTGTAAATTGCGTTAAATATTGCCTTATATGATCATGAAAAATAAAGTCTTATTGTTAAAAACAAATAGTCGAAGACTTAATTTCCAGACCATAATCCGGACTATCATCCGAACATTATCCGATCTCAACCTGGTATACATTTTTTTGGTGTTTAAATTAAATTTTTTTCTATGAATTCGGTAATTAAATTTTGTTAATTGTAAATTTTATCATATCAATTTTGCATGACTATTTTAACTATGAATTCTGTAATATTGATTAAATTAAATTTTGTTCATTATAAATTTCATCATATCAAATTTTGCATAACTATTTTAACTATGAATTCTGTAATATAAATCCATTTGATTGCATAAGATTAATTATAAAATACAATTAATTGATGCAAGGTCCGATTAATTGCATAAGATAAAACTCATTTAATTGTAAGACCCAATTGATTATAGTAGAACATATTTAGGAAATGGCTAAAGCAAGGTACTTTTTTAATGTAGTAATGGTTAGTGGTTTATATAAGTATCAATAAGATAATTTATGCAGCATATAGATCATTTTCTAATTTATATCAAATGCACCTGGCTTTAACCCCTTATTTAGTATAATAAACTCAGATTTTTCCTTGATATCACCAGATGCATATGATGATACAAAATAAGAACAAAAGGTTAAGAATCACAAATATGATGATAGTAGAATATATTCAGCATACAAATTCAATTATTTCTTTTTTTTTTTTTTTAACGTCTACCCTCTTGGGAGCTAGGAAATTCAATTATTTCTAAGATTTAAAAAAATCATAAATATTAATATAATATAATAAATACAATACGGTAATACAAATAAATCAGAGTTTGAATAAAAAATATA